CCTTCTCTTGCTCCTTTAGTCATCCTTCTCTTCAGACACACATGCAGGAATATACAATACAGAGCACATCCACCTGCTAAATAAAAAGCAAGACAGCCAGGTTCAGGGCTCACCCGTCCTGTGCTGTGTTTCAACGGTGATGGCCAAGAATATGGTCCTCTGGGTCTCTTTTGTTCACCCACCCACGGAAACTTGGCAAAGTAAATGTGTGTTTTGGATGGTCTGTGGCTGTTACTCATGGAAACCCTGAATCCACGTGACAACTCTTTCCAAAGCCAGATGGAGTTTCCATTCAGAAAAATCTTGGCACCAATCTCATCAGAACAATCACAAATTCCAGGCAAGACCTGGGGAAGGCTTGATGAGATTGGTGGCTGGCAGTGTGGGTCAGGGGTCATCTAGCAAAGGGGGCGGCACCCTTGGCTGGCATCTCCCTGTCCACAGGACGTGGTGGCCCTCTGTTTCTAATTCTTGGGTTTCAGGAAGGGGTTGTAACCTTCTCCAATGCAAATCTTCCTTGAAAAGGATTCCCTTGTTAAAATAGAAGCAGCCCCACCCCAGACAGTTTGACAACCAGCAGCAGAAAGTGACTACACCTAGCTCGTAAGAAAAGGAAGTACATGAGAAGAATTCAGAAACATCTCACAGAGTCTAAGAGCAGATGTTACAGCTGGGTCTCAGACTTACAAAAGAAAAAGACTAGAACCAAGAACAAAAATGACATCATGGAATGAAGTGGCTACTTTCTTTCTCCCCGAGGTAACTTTCTCAGGCTCATAGAATCTTATTTCTCTAAATTCTCTCCCCCTCATTCCCTCTCTCTCTGACTTTCTCTCTATATATATTGGCTTTTGTCCTCAAGCAGCTTAATGGTGTCGCTAGGCTCAAACTCCAAGAAAGAATCTGATGCGCCAAGAAAGAATCCAATCTCCAGTCCAATTAACAGAGTCAGAGCGGTAGGTCATCTCTGCAGACACCACGTGGTCTCCCACTCCCACCAGAATTAATGGAACCAGGGATGGACAATCTGCATGGACATTCTGGAAAGAATCAGCTCTTATTATTTTCTTTTTGGAAATTTATTTCTTTAAACTTATTTTTCAATTACACTTGACATACAATATTATATTAGTTTCAGGCGTACAACATAATGATTAGACATTTATATACCTGACGAAATGATCACCCCGATCAGTCTAGTACCTGTCTGACACCATACATAGTTATTACAGTATTATTGACTATAATCCCTTTGCTGTACTTTACATCCCCGTGACTATTTTTATAAACTGGCAATTTGTACTTCTTCACTCTCCTTTCCTTTAGTTGCCAATTTCTCTGTCTTTTCCTCAATCTTACTGTCCTAGTATTATCTACTTGCTTCTCTGTTTCTTTATACACTGCAGATCACTTGTGGGCTGGGACCCCCATGCCAAGCAGGCCCACATCCATTCGGCATATCCTTATTGAGAACTAACTCTCTGCAGGCCCTGGGCTGGACCGGCAGTAGTTGCAGGGACAAGCATCCCGTGCAATCTCACGTGACTTGCATTCTGGCAGAGAAAACAGATACTAATAACCATGCAGATACATTATCTCTGAGCCCACTCTTTACATTTTTTCCCAAGTTATGTTTAGTACAGTCTATTTAAGAAGGAAGGGAAAGCAAAAAACAGAAATGTGTAATCAATCCTACACTGGTCTAATTAATGATTCTGAATAGTTAAAATTTTAAAAATCAGTGCATACTAGTCACCTATCTAGACTGAGAGCCTGTAAATTCTGGCTATCTGAGGTTTCCTTGTTTTTTATACTGTTCCCTCCCCAGAGAAAGGACCAGATAAGCCCCATCTCCTGCCCACAGCCATTACCTGGCTCCAGCTGCCTGGCGCTCCCACCCACCTCAGGAGGAAAACTCCCAACCATTCAAGCAGACAGAGGGCCTTTTATGAAGGGAAAGGCCCCTCCACCTGGGCCTCGTGTGGACCCTCCCATTTCTGCTTCTCACCTCACACTAGTGGAGGCCACTGCTGGGCACTGGGGAGGTGGGCATTTCTGTCAAGAACAAATCTAAGAAAAGTCTGTTTGGCCATAAGAGGTTTTTTGTTTTGTTTTGTTGGGGGCAGTGGCGAGTGAGGGTTGGGGAGTTTGCCTTTCGATTTTTTTTTTTTTTTTGGTTTCAATGTATTCACAAATTATTTCAAATATACCAAAAACTATACAACAGACACACCCATAAACCCACATGTAATTAATCAACAATGATGCTTACACACATGTGAATATTTGGACACTTTTGCTTCAGAACTCTTCCATGCCGGTACTTTCTTTCTTAGAGGAATAAAATGTTATAAATACAACTGAAGACAGTCCCCATCTCTTCCCTCGCCTCCCACCTCAGAGGCAGCTCGCACATTTCTGTATTTTTTACTATGTTTGTAGCATCTATGAACAATATGTACGGTTGTTTTGTGTTTTTTTAAATATGCACAAATAGTATTCTGTACATATCACTTTACAAATTGCCTTTTCCACTCCACATTATGTTTCTTTGAGATTTATCCATATTGTTGCCTAGAAATATTGTTCATTACTCTAACTGCTATATTTTAGTGTTTGTAGAAATCCCAGTTTCTTTTTTAAACACTAATAAGTGATTTTCACATTTTTGCTATTATAAATAGAGCTTCAATAAACATCTTTATACACGATACCTCCCAGCCAGATTTATAGCAGCAGAGTTTGACAGCAAGGGGTGAAGGCTCTGGAGCCAGATTCTTAGGTTCAAATCCCCGTTCAACCACTTACTAGCTACGTGACCTTAGGAAAGTATCCTTATTTGTAAAATAGAAATAGAAGTAGTAGTGTCAACCTCAAAGGGTGGAAATTAAATGGGTTATACCTGTTCCTGGTACATAATGTGTGCTCAGTAATCATGTTTCTATGTTGATATATCAATAGCTATTGTTATAATGATCAGCTCACTAGTTTTTCAGGGACCAAGTGTGTATTATGCCTCTGGCACTGGTGACACAAAGCTGAGCAAGTCAGTCTCTGCCTCCCCAAATCTTCTGGTCTGGGGGTGGGGGGTGGGAGTGAGAAATGGCCTAATGACCAGACAGGGCGTGGCAAGTTGGAGCTGAGATGGGGGAACCTAGAGGAGACATGGGGGAGTGGAAGGAGCTCGGGAGAAACTCTGAGTCTTGGAGGATGAAAGGAGTTAACCAAGCCAAGGGGAAGAGGGAGGGCTGTCCAGACAGAAAGAGTAACAGGAAGAAACAGGAGGTTTGACAGATAAAACATTCATCTGTTTAAAAAATATGTGAGTGCTCCCTGTTCTAGGTGCTGGGGAGACTGCTGTGAATAAGACAAAGTTCTGTTCCCATCGTGATAGTTAACGCATGTCTCACCACGTGCCTGCCACACACTTCCCACTCCAGTTATGCTTAGTAACTATGAGGTACACTTACAACTATAAGCTCCATTTTACATCTGGACTCACTGGAGCGCAGACAGATTTGGTAACTTGGCCAGATCGGTAAGGTCCTAAGGAGTAGAGTTGGGATTCACACCAGGCAGCCTGGCTGTGGATGTCTGGTCTTAACCACTTTGCTATGCCGCCCTCAAGAAACTTGCTGCTATTCTGGTGACAGATTCCAGGAACTACAACTGAGTTTCCTTGTCTGGAGTACGGCGTCATTCATGGTAGGCAGATTAAGGCCAGATTGTGATGGGCCTTGAACGCCAGGCTAAGGGGCTGGGATTTCACGCCGTAGGACTGCATGTTGGGTGCTTGGAGAGGACTAGGTGAGACTCAGAAAGACACCCCGCCACCTCGCACCCCTCCCGTACACTTGCAAAAATCCAAGCCATAGATGACAATGAACTGGGATGTCGTGAGGCGACTGGGATTCAGGGAAGCAGAAGCTTCCCGCAGAATGGATCGCAGAGGCAGAGGAGGCAGGTCTGGGCGTGAGGTCGCCGGCGCGGGGTCTGGCCAATGGCGGCGGGCCGGGCGCGGCCCCGCCCGCAAGGCGGGGTCCTGGCCCGCGGGCGGGCTGAGCGCGCTGCGGGCTCGCTCGGGTACCAGCGCTGCTGCACCCGCCGCGC